GTTTGTGAATGGATATTTGATAGTGGAGCTACATATCATATTACACCTAATGAGAAATTATTAATTGCTAGTCTAAGTATACAAGACAATAAGACAGATGGAGTACAGGTGCCAATAGGGAATAAATTTGACATTATAAATATTGGCATCACAAAATTTTTAGAGGGGCATGAACTCAATAATGTAATGCATGTACTAGACTTCAAGTTTAGCTTGCTATCAGTCTCAAAACTAACCAGAGAGCTAGCTTGTTCAGTCTCTTTTTACCCTGACTTCTGTGTGTTTCAGAGACTTTACAATGGCACGGTATTGGGGATTGGTAAAGAAAAGAAAGGGTTTTATACACTAGAGAATCCAATAAAGCCAACAATGCATGATATGGTTGCTGAGAATAAGGATGGAGGCACAAGACTTTGGCACTTAAGGCTAGGACATGCTTCAACAAGTGTGCTGCAACATATTCAGTCATTAAAGCATCTTTCAAATAGAACTGTACAACACAACTGTGAGATTTGTCCTTTAGCTAAACAATGTAGATTGAAGTTTCCTGTTAGTGAAAGCAAAACATTAAGAGCTTTTGAATAAGTTCATGTTGATGTTTGGGGACCCTACAGACATCCTACTTTTGACAAGAAGCATTACTTTGTTACTATAGTGGATGACTTTAGTAGATACACTTGGCTATGTCTAATTCACTCTAAAAGTGAAGTCATTGTAGTCCTCAGGGATTTCATTGCTTTAATAAAGAATCAGTTTGCACTGTCTATGAAGATTTTAAGATCTGACAATGGTATAGAGTTCTTTAATTCCTCAGTTATTGACTTGTTTGCTTCAAATGGTGTTATACATCATAGTAGTTGTGCTTACACTCCTCAGCAGAATGGTACAGTAGAAAGAAGACATAGGCACATATTAGAAGTGGCCAGGGCACTAAAATTTCAAAGCTTCCTTCCTATTCAATTCTGGGGTGAATGTGTTAGGACTGATGTATATCTGATCAATAAGTTGCCTACTGATGTGTTGAAAGGGAGATCACCTTACGAGGTGTTACATCAGAAGATACTAGAAGTTAGTCATTTAAGGGTATTTGGTTGCTTGTGTTATGCAACTAGATTTCATAAAGGGGACAAGTTTGCACCTAGAGCTAGGAAATTAGTGTTCCTAAGGTACACTGAGACTCAGAAAGGGTACATGTTGTATGATCTGATTGAAAAGGTTTTCTTTGTGAGTAGAGATGTTACATTTAGAGAGGACATTTTCCTTTCCAAACACAAGCATTGCCTGTAGAGTCTGATATGTTTGAGATGGATAACTCAGACTTGATTCCTACTTCTGTCAATGAGCATATAGAGCCTATTATATTAGACAATCCAGACACATCATCAGACCATGATACTGAGTTCAGTATAGAGAATAACATAGAGAATGTTGCAGTTCCTGATGACACAGATGAAGCAAATAAAGTTGATCCTTTACCAGAAACACTACCAGTCAATCCACTAAAGACTAGACCTTCTAGACATACTAAGCCACCTGGTTGGCTTGATGACTATGTCACTAATTCAAAACCATCTGCAAGTTGTACCTACCTCATCTCAAACTATCTCCATTATTCTCATTTGTCCACCCCTTACCAAGCATACTTGGGGTATATTCTCACAACTAATTGAGCCTACTTCTTTTCGTGAAGCATCTACAGATGATAGGTGGGTTGCAGCTATGTCTGATGAAATTGCAGCATTGGAAAGTAATCACACCTAGGAGATAGTTGACTTACCACCAGGGAAGCAGGCAATTGGTTCAAAATAAGTGTTTAAGATTAAGCACAAAGTTGATGGGTCCATAGACAAGTACAAGGCAAGGTTGGTAGTAAAAGGATACAATCAAAAGGAGGGGTTAGACTATCATGAGACATTTTCACCAGTTGCAAAGATGGTAACAATGAGAACTGTCATTACTATTGCAGCCTCAAAGGATTGGCCCTTGATCCATATAGATGTCAATAATGCATTTCTACAGGGTGATTTATATGAGAATGTTTATATGTTCTTAGCACAGGGTTTTCACAGACAGGGGAAGACTAAAGTATGCAAACTGATCAAATCTTTGTATGGTTTGAAACAAGCCTCTAGGCAATGGAATATAAAATTGACCACTGCCTTACTAGAAGCAGGATATGTTAGATTGATATAGTGATAATTCTTATATATATTGATGATTTATAATCAGGAAACAACCAAACTCTAATTGATGATGCTCAAAAGACTCTACACAACAAGTTTAAGGTGAAAGATCTAGGACAACTCAGATACTTCCTAGGAATTGAGATATTAAGGTCAGACAAAAGGATATTACTCAACCAAAGGAAGTACACTTTGGAACTTTTATCCAAAGTTAGATTAGGAGGAGCTAAGCTAGCATCCACTCCAATGGAGATGAACATAAAACTTACTACTGTAGAATATGATTCAAAGGTTGGGAATGCGAATGACCCTATCCTAACTGATGTGCATAGCTACTAGCAGCTGATAAGGAAGCTGATTTATTTGACAATCACCAGGCCTGACTTTGCAGTTCAGGTTCTTAGCCAATTCATGCAGCATCCAAAAAGGTCACATTGGGATGCAACACTAAGAGTTCTTATTGAAAGGGGCACATGAACAAGGGATATTGCTGAAGAAAGGATCAATCACAAGCTTAACAACATTTTGTGATTCAGACTGGGCAGCATGCCCCAACACAAGAAGGTCAATAACATGATATATAATCATGCTTGGGGAGTCTATGGTTTCATGGAAATAAAAAAAGCAACATACAGTGAGTAGAAGCTCAGCAGAAACAGAATACAAGAGTATGGCAGGGGCAGTATCAGAAGTTATATGGTTGGTAGGATTGCTAAAAGATCTATAGGTGGATATAATGACTCCAGTCAGACTATGTTGTGATAACAAAGCTGCTATGCAGATTGTTTCTAACCCAATTTTTCATGAACGAACCAAACACATCGAGATAGATTGTCATTTTGTGAGAGAAGCTCAAAGATGGATTGATCAAGCCTGAGCATATTGGAACCAAGTCACAGTTGGCAGATTTACTTACAAAGGGATTAGGGATAGTACAACATCACAATCTTCTTTCCAAGCTAGGAGTTCTTGATATCTTCCATCCTAGCTTGAGGGAGAGTATTAAATAAATAGAAGATTAGTTGGTGATTAGAGGTGTAGTTAGTTAGTTGACATTAGTTAGTTATAACTAACTTCACTGTAGCAAGTTAGTTATAACAATACACTGTAGCTAGCTTTATAAAAGCACATGTAATTCACATTTCAGATGTATGAAAATATCTTCTTTTCTCTTTCACTCTCAAATGCTCTCTACATGAACATCATACTGTTTTAGAAGAAGAAAATTAACATGTTTGTTATTTTATTGTACAGTAAGTAGTCATTAAATTACCAAATTAATGATAATCACTCTTGGGTTTTTCTAAACTAAAAAAGAGAGGAATAATTAAAAGAAAGTACTTAAGAAATAACTTTAGATTTTCAAAAAATAAATTATATAAATAGAAAAATTAAGAGAAATATCAAATATATATAACTATTCATTATATATACACACAAATATATAATTTAAATATTATGCTTGATCTTTATATGCATAAACATAATTAAATATATTTAGAAAATGTAGGAAAATAAACATAATCAGCATAGATTGTTGTCGTATGATTTCTTGATACTGAGTCACAATGACATATTACACAATATTTTTCTCCATATCAGCGTCATTGGCAAATCCCTACATCAGATCCAATTTGATTATTAATAGAATTTCCATCATGAAATACATGGAATAAATTTTTGTTCAAGAATAAAATTTTATTGAAATTGTTCATATCCAATTTATTCTTCGAAATCATATCACAACCTAATTAAAAATGATGAATTGACATGATATTCTCTAAATACTAAATTATTTTGAATATATTAATCATTTTATAAGTTTTTGATGGCTTGGAAAGGACAACAAAATACATGATACATGCAATTTCATTATAATGCAAACAAAAATATATTTTCTTCTTCCTTATAACTTCATTCATTCGATTCTTTTTTGCAATCTTTTCTCCCTTTTCCCTTTGTTCTCTACTTAATGTCTCCTCTATATTACTATTCTTGTTTCGGTAAATCGTCTCCCTTTCTTCTAAGTTCTAAGCATATTTGTATCCAATTCCGTATTTTCAATCTAATATTTTTTCTATTTGATTTTTGTTGAAATTGTTTTTTTATATTTTTCAAGACCTCATCAGTTGCACTTATAAACTATTGTAAAATTGAGATCCAAAATATTTTATAAGGTCGAGATGGTCATAGATATACTATCAGTTAAGCGTGGAAAAATATGAAGATCTAAACAAAATTTATCCATGAGACCAAAGAAAAATGATACTTTAAAAAAGATTATTACTATTGAAACTACAAGAATTACATAACTTGATCTCATTTACAAGTTGTAAGTAGTCATAGTTAATCAGTTAGGAACGTAAAGATTATTTGTTAGTTAGTTAGGCTAGCTGCCATGTTAGTTAATTAGATATGAACAGTGTATATATACATGTGAGAACGGTGTGTACTGATTCATTCAATATATGAGAAAATTTCCCAGAGAGCAGTTACCAATTCTCTCTACCCTTTTTCTCCATTCTCCATTTCTTCTCAATCTGATCATCAAGTTCAGATTTCATCATGGTATCAGAGCCTCGGATCGAAGATTGATTCAAGTCTGTTTATCGATCCTTTTCTTCTTCAATCTCTGATTAATCCTTGCTTAAACATCTCTGCAATTTTCACAAAATCATGGCGAACAAAGATACAATTGAGAATATTGAGAAACAACGAAATCATCCCTTGTATCTTCATCAATCGGTTACCCCAGGATCACTGTTGACAAGCATTTAGCTCACATGAGTGGAAAACTATGCAGTTTAGAGTAGATCGATGCTTCTCACACTCCGAGCTAAGAGCAAACTGGGTTTCGTATATGGAACCTGTAAGAAAAGTGATTATAGAAGCGATTTAGAAGAGCATTGGGAGAAATGTAATGCTTTCGTTTTGTCTTGGATTTTCAATTTTATGTCAAAGGAGCTCATGAGTGGGATTGTGTATGCTACAGATGCAACAATTGTTTGGGCTGATTTGAAGGAGAGATTCAACAAAGTTGATGGATCAAGACGTTATCAATTGTATAGGAAAATTTGTACAATTTCTCAAGGTACTTCATATGTATCTGCTTATTTTACCAGATTGCGTGTACTCTGGGATGAGTTTGACGCACTTATTCCTCCACCTTCTTGTGGTTGTGATAAGTCGAAGGTGTATGCTAGTCATTTGCAGTATATGCGTCTGTTTGCTTTCTTAATCGGATTGAATGAGTCCTATAGCCAACAAAGGAGTCAAATACTGATGATGATACCTTTACCATCCCTGAATAAAGCCTACTCAATGATTATTGATGATGAAAGTCAGAGAATGACAACAAGTTCATATTCAGGAACTGAATTGGGTGAATCATCGACTGCTCTCTATGTAGGAAGTTCAAGCTCTAGGAGATCTAACTATAATTCACAAAATACTAATCTAGGAAGTAGTGGTTATGGTAGTTATCAACAAGCTGGGAATAATGTCGATTACAACAGTCATGATGCTTCTCAAAGGAACAAAAGGAACTATAACTTGCAATGTGAGGTTTGCAAATTGAAAGGGCACACCAAGGAGACTTGTTACAGAGTAGTTGGGTACCCTCTGGTCATCCTAAGTTCAGGAAGAAGTCTGGTGGGACAAGGATGGCACATGCTGTTGATTGTGATGATCCTTTTAGTGCAGTTGTGCAAGGCCAATGTATGCAGAACATGCAACATCTCATGGAGCAGCCTGCATCTACAAAGGAGCAGTATAGTTAGATACTGAAATTACTGAGCAAGGAGAAGTGCACTGAAGAACCACCAACCAATACAACAGATGAAGCTCATATGACAGGTATTGCACATACTTTTATGGTAGCTAGTAAAAATGATAATGCTCACAGACACTGGATAGTGTATTCAGGAGCAACTAAGCACATTACCTCAAATCTAGATGCATTGTTTGACATAGGTGTATTGCCAAATAGAAAGCAAGTTCATCTACCTAATGGACAAACCACCACAATTTCTCATGTTGGAAAGTATAAGTGGGATGGTAGAGATGTCTTAAAAGATGTATTGGTGGTGCCTGATTTTAAGTATGATTTACTGTCTGTGTCACAACTCACTATACAATTGCAGTGTTCAATCAAATTTTTCCCTGAGTTTTGTGTGTTTCAAGACCTTTCCACTGGGAAAGTGAAGGGGATTGGTAAGAAAGTTGGAGGTCTCTATATTCTGTTGGACAACAATAAGCATCATGACACCAATAAAAGACCAAAATTAATGGTTGTTAATGTACAAAATGTTGGAGAAGACATGTTGTGGCACAAAAGATTGGGTCATCCAACTATGAATGTTCTCAGGAAGATGTCATTGACACTGGAAGGACAGGACAACATCATTAGGGATATATGTAAAGTTTTCCCTCTGGCAAAACAAACTAGGCTGCCATTTCCTTTGAGTTGTACTAGAAGTAGAAGTATCTTTGATATGATGCATTTTGATGTATGGGGTCCCTATAAAATAGCTACTCACAATGGTTTTAGATATTTTCTGACATTAGTTGATGATTACATCAGGATGACATGGTTGTATTTGCTCAGATTGAAATCAGATGTTATCACTATATTGAAAAAGTTTCTATCAATGATAAAAACTCAATTTGCAGCTTCTGTGAAGATTTTTAGGTCTGACAATAGTAGTGAGTTTTTTAATAAAGACTGCAACACTTTGTTTGAATATTTAGGAATCATACATCAAAGTAGTTCTCCTTACACACCACAACAAATTGGTGTTGTGGAAAGGAAACATAGCCATATACTAGAGATAGCTAGAGCCCTCAGATTCCAAGGAGTTATTCCTAACAGGTTTTGGGGTGAATGTGTCCTAATTGCAGTTTATTTGATAAACAGGTTGCCTACACCAGTGCTTAAAGGAAAATCTCCATATGAGTTGTTTCATAAACACAAACCTGTAATTGCACACCTGAAAGTACTTGACTGTTTGTGCTATGCAACTAAAGTTGTCAAAGTTGACAAATGCTCACCTAGAGCTACTGCATGTGCATTGTTAGGATACTCCACAACACAAAAGGGGTATATTATTTTTGATCTACATGACAAAAGGTTCCTTGTTAGTAGAGATGTAGTTTTTTATGAAAATGAGTTTCCATTTAAAGGTGGCTCATCACAGAATTTATTTCTATCCTCCTACTTGTCTACTGTCCCTTCTTATTTGGATGAGACCTTGATTCATGATGAACCTTCAGTAGACTTCAATGCTAATAATGAGAGATCCTTAGATAGTACAACCAGAGATGTTATCATAAATACAGATCCTCCATCAGATTTGCCTCCACCTGATATGCATGATTTAAGTTTAGTTCTAGAATTACCTGCTCCTCATGTTGCTCCAAGAAGGTCAGCAAGGATCACTACACCACCTGGATGGCATCATACTAGCACCAAAGTTACCAAACCAGTTCCTCATCCTATGGCAAACTATGTTTCTTACCAGCATATCTCTTCTCCATATTATGCATACATAGCCAAAATATCCACAGGAATGGAACCTTCCACTTATGAGGAGGCTGTAACAGATGCAAAATGGGTTAATGCTATGAAACAAGAATTGCAAGCTCTAGCAGACAATGGGACTTGGAAACTGGTTCATTTACCTCTTGGTCACTTAATAATTGGTTGCAAGTGGGTATATAAGATCAAATACAAGGCTAATGGTGATGTGGAAAGGTACAAAGCAAGACTTGTAGCTAAGGGATACAATCAGACTGCTAGGATTGATTATCAAGAAACCTTTTCTCCAGTTGTGAAAATGGTGACAGTAAGAATTGTCATTGCATTGGCTGCTGCTGAAAATTGGCCCTTGTTCCAAATGTATGTGTATAATGCTTTTCTTCAAGGGGATTTGTTGGAAGATGTTTTTATGGAAATACCTAAAGGTTTGCAGATTCAGGGGGAGAAACATATGGTCTGTAAGCTTGTTAAGTCTTTGTATGGACTAAAACAAACATCTAGATAATGGAACTTCAAACTAACATAAGCATTGGTAATCTCAGGGTATAAACAAAGTCCTTTGGACCATTCTTTATTCACTAAGAAGCAAGGGAACAAGATGGTAATTATATTGGTCTATGTGGATGATTTGCTCATCACTGGCAATGACACACAATTGATCCAAGATACCAAAAGGGTGCTACATCAGTCCTTCAAGATTACAGACTTGGGAGAACTAAAATTTTTTCTGGGAATTGAATTCAGCAGGTCCAAGAAGGGAATTCTGATGAATCAAAGGAAGTATGCTCTAGAATTGTTAGCAAAAGCTGGTCTGACAGGAGGCAAAATGGCATTAACTCCTTTGGAGTGTAACATGAAGCTGACTATAGCTGAGATGACTAATGGTAATGGGGGAAATGAGTCTGTTGACCTGTTTGAAGATGTACAACAATACCAAATAATGATTGGAAAGCTACTCTACTTGACCATCACTAGGCCTGATATTTCTTATACAGTGCAGACACTTAGTCAATTCATGCAGAGACCTACAGTACAACATTGTAATGTAGCATTAAGAGTCCTAAGGTATATTAAGACTCAACTAGGATTGGGATTATTAATGTCATCAGAAAGGACATGAGACTAACAGGTTATTGTGATGCTGATTGGGCTTCATGTCCACACACTAGAAGATTTGTGACAGGTTACATTCTCAAGCTTGGTGAATCAATCATTGCCTGGAAATCCAAGAAGCAAGCAACAGTTTCCAGAAGCTCAGTTGAGGATGAATATAGAAGTCTAGCAGGCTTGACAGCTGAAGTAGTTTGGGTTACTAATCTGGTTAAGGAATTGGAGATTCAAGTTAAAGGACCAACATCTATATACTGTGACAACAAAGTAGCCATCCAAATAGCAGTAAATCCAGTGTTTTATGAGAGGACTAAGCACATCGAAATAGATTGTCACTTCATCAGGGAGAAGATTCAGCAGGGCTTGATCAAGACAGTGTATGTTCCCTCACATGAACAACTGGCAGACTTATTGACTAAAGCTTTGGGAAGAGCTCAACATGAGTTCCTATTATCCAAACTAGGTGTCCTGAATGTTTTCTTAGGCCCTAGTTTGAGAGGGAGTATTGAAACTACATGAATTACATAACTTGATTTCATTTACAAGTTGTAATTAGTCATAGTTAATCAGTTAGTTACTTACAGATTAGCTGTTAGTTAGTTAGGCTAGTTGTCATGCTAGTTAGTTAGTTATGAACAATGTACATATACATGTGGGAATGGTGTGTACTGATTCATTCAATATACGAGAAAATTTCCCAAAGAGCAGTTACAAATTCTCTCTACCCTTCTTCTCCATTCTCCATTTCTTCTCAATCTGATCATCAAGTTCAGATTTCATCTATTACATCTCAATTAATAATGAATAACGTAAGCTATAATTTAAAAAATAAAAGGAACCTTTGAATTGTTCATAGGCTTTGGTATACTATGTGATAATATTTTTTAATAAAAAATTGAAGAATAAGAAAAGGGAAAAAAAATAATGTAATAGAAGAATAAATTTGACATACCAAAGAAAGTAAATTGTTGTGTTAAAATCACCTCGGATCAAAGTTCAAACTTGACAAATTGAGAAGAAGCAGCAGTCCCATTTCATGGCTTAGTAGTAGGAAATAAAGATGAGTTTCTCCTCTTATATATATTTACCGGACAATAAAATTGATGCAACTTTTAAACTTCCTAATGAATTGGTTATTCTCCATAAAATAGATTGAACGTGTGGAATAAATTTTTATTATAAGAACATCTTAGGTTACTGCTACAACGTGGGCTGACTCAATATAATTACATGACATTTATTGTCCAAATATTTAAGGCTTTTGTTAATCAATTTTTATATAGAGAAAGAAAGAAAAAAATCCAAAAAAAAAGAGAAAAGAAGATAAATGTGAATGGAGGCCATAGAGAGGTGCCACATCACCTCCTCAATGTTTCTCCTTTATATAGATAAAAAATTGTAATTTTTTGCAAAATCTATACAAAAAGTACTATAAATTGTAATTTTTTGCATATGAATATGATGAAAAAACACATTGTAAAATATTAGTTAAAATTCTTATAGTTTGACTCTAAAAAGGAAATCATAACAATTAAAAGTGTATAGAGAGAGTAATAAATAAGTAATTAAATTTCAAGAAGTTTAAAATAAAAGGTTGAAAAAAATAATAAGATAGACAACATATATTGAAAATTGAAAACATATAGATAATAAATGGGCCCAAATAAACACTTGTCATGTGCTAAGTAGTAGATATTCCCACTTATTATATATAGTAATAGTAATATAGATTCTTAATTAATATAACAATATATTATTTTTGAATTTAGTTTCATTTGATATAATTCAATCAAATTTAAAGAATTAGAGTAAGAAGCACTCACCTAAAAACCATGCTTTGAATTCAAAACAGATCCATGCTTTGACGATTACTTTGATCTATATAGAAACACAAAGCTTTATCAAAAACAATATGATCAGCTTGCATGATGTGATGTTTAGTATATAAATTTCAATTTAAATTTTGTTAACAAAATTTCTAATACTCCATCTGTTTCAAAAAAATTGACATACTTTCCTTTTTAATCTTAAATATTTTTTATTTACTTCTAGATAACACTCACTCAAATATAAAGAAGTGAGAAACACTCACCTATATACCACAATATAAGTGATAACATAACATGTCACTAT